ACCACACGGAGGTGCACAACGTGGAGCACCACACGGAGGTGCACAACATGGAGGGCCCCACGGAGGTGCACAACATAGAGCACCCCAAGGAGCTCCACATCCTGGACATCAAAGAGCACCACGCCCTGTTGCTTCTCGCCCGGGTGCCCCATTGGGCACCCCACTTCGGGAAGCCCAACATGAGGGAGCTGCACCTCCCCCTCCCCTTGCTTTCCAGGGAGAGGACCCTTANCTTATCTGATCTGATGAAATTTTGTGCGTCCTTAAGTAGACCTAGACACCTATGACCGTACTACCAAAAAAGGGAAGAAATTCTATGAACCGAACTAACTGGCATTCTCATTATCATTTTACGTGATCTATAGTTCTCTCTTTTTTAGCATGACAATATAATGGTGTTTGTTTTCTTTTTATGGTTGTACACTCAGCCTTATGCATAATTTTAAGTACTGGATCAAATTTTATGTAGACTAGGGCCAATAATTTTTAATACAACTTGGCATGAAATCAAATCATGACATATTCTTTTAGATTTACTGGATTTGGATCATAAATAGATCGTGAATGGATTAAATCAATTTTGACCCAATACGAGTTACATAATATGATAATTTTTTATAATACCAATCAATCCGATATGAAATCAATACGAAAATTACTGGATATGAGTTTGACTCGACACCTTTGGATCACATCATATTGATCTGCATTTCTGACAATAAATGATCAGAACAAAATTTTAACACAATTCGACTTCATGACTCCAACACATGTCACAACATGACCCATTATCAACACTAATCTGGATCCGAAATTTATGAGAAACTCAAAAACCAGGTTCTAGGTTAGCTTGCTGCAATTGCACAAGTTGGCAAGGCTAAGTTTGAGGCCAAAGTTTTGAGGTTTCCAAGTCAAATTTCAGAAAGTGTAGCCTAACTGAAGAAGTTTCTTTTATTTTAGGTTCTTGTCACCAATAATTTCAAATCCCTTGGAAATCAGTATCACTTCAACAATTCTCGGTTCTTTTTATTATCCATAGTTGTGAGGATGATATGAAAATGTTATGTATTTAGAGAGGTTGATGGAGGTTGTGGAACACTTTGAATTTGTTGGACCCCTATGTAGACAGAGTGGGTTCCACCATATAAATGCACATTACTTCGTGTCCTTGAGATAAAATTCACCGAAGACCCCCTTCAACTATTTTAATGAAAGATAAAGCTACCTAACTCCTGTAGCTAATTAAATCTACATCAAATGCCACTCTTTTTTTATGTCAACTAACTATCCCCAAGTAAATCCGTAGCTGACAATGTTTTGCATTTTATAAACATGCAATATCTTTTTGGTAGTGGAGAATTGTCTCAACTACGTGTCATTTGGATTCATGGCTAAATCACAAATCTTAGATGCATGCAATCAGTAGTAAAACTACATGCATTGGTTAAACTCGGGTTTTGTGCTGCCAATGAAGCTTGAACTTAGATTGTACAGATTTATGCCTCACCATTTGTGTGACTACTGAACCAATTTGTGCAGATTATAAACCTAGCAATTAGGATAAATGTTTAAAGAAAATGAGGAATTGATGATCAACCTACTCTTTGGCTGTGCCCACTTGCAGTCGTTTTAGCATTTATGATCTTGTTAGATGATGCAAATGCCTCAGCCTAGAAAGCCTTATGAATCTTCACCACATGGGTATTAGCCCCAGAATTAGGAACTTCGAGTGGTAAGCTTGAAAGCTTGAAGCACATTTTCTTATAATACCATCTTGAAGTGTACTTTTTCCATACAAACCAGAATTCTATCATCACTTACTCATATTCTGTTTCCATGAGAGATCAGACGTGGAGTGTACACTTAAACCTGTAATCAATAGCAGAGATTATCAAAAAAATTATTTTCTTGAGAGGATTCTCTCTTTCCAAAATAAAGAACAATGTTTTGTTCAAGAAAGATGTTCTTTTTTAGAGCTGAAAATATGCTTATTTGTACGTTATTTTTCATGTTACCTCTAGCATTAGTTTATATACAAATTAATTCATCGTCGAAATTTACTGTATCTTCTTTTCGTGCCCTCATGGTTACATTCAAGCATCTTTGTTTTGGTATTGTCCAACAATTGATGGCATATTATTACAACAAATGGCCAATTTATTTGATGAATGTCAACAGTCATAATCATGCGTTCACTGATTGAAACTATGATCATATCATTGTTTGTTTGCTTTTAGCAAGGACTGTTTCCTTAAAGAGATTAAAGTGTCATTATCACAACCGATCATTTATGCTTTATGTTCATATATACAATGCACGTATATACTTAGATCACGTCAACTTTAGCATCATTTAATTCCTTTAACAATTGCTAGATTGCTCTATCATGGATCCACATTTATTTCCAATTTAATTAAGTAACAATCAGCAACCTTTCTTAGGGACAATTTAGTATGTCGTTGGTCACTTCACGTCAATATCCTTAATGATTTGATGTTTCACTTGTTTAAGGAAGATTTGATGGTCCAACTTACAAAAGTTTTATCTTTATAAGTAATCAACATTTGTTCCACTATTTTAGAGTAATGTCTCATTGTTGTTATGTTGTGGTGCCATGTCTCTTTATCAAAGTAAATCTTTTGAAACATTTACTACATTTTACCCCCAAAAAAAAAAAAACATATAGGTAAAGATATTGTTTTCCCTAAAACATAAATGTTAGTGAAGATGTTCCAGTTGAATTGAAGTGGGCAAGATGGAATTATTTTTTTCTATTNAAGGCCAAACAAAATATTATGGGCCCTCTTCAAAATAAAAAGGCCAAACAGAATATTATGGGCCTTCTTTAAAATAAAGTGGGCAAATAGAAAGTTATGGGCCCTCTTTAAAATCAAGTGGCCAAAAAGAAAGTTATGAGTCATTTTCAAAACAAAAAGGCCAAACAGAATACTATGGGCCTTCTTTAAAATAAAGTGGAAAGGACTTGAAAAAAAAAATAAAAAATAAAAAATCAATGCCTCCTTCTCCAAGTCTCCTTGGACATGGGGCATTGGGGGGCAAANTAATTTATATGCATATCAATTAATCGTTCTAACATACAAATACTCAAATAGTACTGATCACATCAAATAGTAGATAGGATAAATGTAGTAAAGTCCTCTTATTTAACATTGCTCATGAATTAATATTTTCCATGGTGGACAAGATACGAATTAATAAGAAACAGAATGGTTATCTCAACGAGAACCTAACACATAAAGATTACAGCTAGGTTTTGCCATATGGTTGTAACACGATAATATAACTCACCAGAAAATACAAAAATGTGTTTGTGAGTACCTGTGTGTGTGTGAGAGAGAGAGAGAGAGAGAGAGAGAGAGAGAGACAGAGACAGAGTCAAAGGAAATGAGAATAGCAAAAAAAAATCGATGGAACCCAATTCATTTATTTTTAACACCCACGTATACAATATAATATATATATATATATATGTATATGTATATCTGTGTGTGTATGCTCTAATGTGAAACACTATTCTATAAAATAATGTTATTAAAATCTAAAAATTTAATTTAATGATATATTTTCATTATAATTATTAGATTAATATTAAATTTTAATATTTAATGAGACTAATAATCAATTCAATAATTATAATAAATTAAGTCGTAATAACATTTACCCCTAAAAGCACTTTTGGCAAATAGAGAAGTCACGCCCACTGGCACACGAAAAAAAAACCCACAAAATTCACAATGCACTACTGGAACAAGCAAACACAATGAGAGACAATGACTGCACATGGAAACTCCCTAGTCCAGGGGTTAGCTCCATGTGATTATTGAGGTACTAGGTCAATTCCTGTTTAGAAGTTCCTCAATCATTTGCAGTGCAATCCTCTCCTCTTCTTTCATCTCTTCTCCTATTTCCAGTTCGATAGCCTTTTCCGGCGTCTCAGTCGCCGGCTTCTCCTTTGGACTTTGCTCATCTTTCTTCTCCAACTCCACTGTCATGACCCAATTCGAATCAGAACGCGAACCAGCTCGCTTTTGCCACACCCCAATATGAGAATTCTCTGTGTCAAGCCTAAGGCAAGTGAGAGAAGGAGATGGGTATTTACAGCACTTGCGAAGTTTCGCACTAAGGATGGTTGAAAGAGCAGTCGAAGATGAAGGAGTAGAATTGTCATTTTTGCCAGTATGGTTTGTGGCCACTGGAAAATTTGTTTTTGCATTCCGGCCACTCATTAAAACCGCCGCCTCGTCGTAGGCTCTCGCTGCTTCCTCCGCCGTTTCAAATGTTCCAAGCCACACCCTTCTCTTCCTAAAACATAGAAAAAGAAGAGAAGAAACAATATATATTATGCATTTGAATTACAAAAAAAAAAA